ATATACTTTTTTAGGGTTGTGTTAATTTTTTTTTCTGCGGCGGACTTTTTTCCTGTGTTTTTTGCAAAGCCTATGTTTACAATTCGTTCAGCTAAAAAGTCTAAATCATCCATGTGCAAAAACCGTTGTAATATATTAACCAGTTTAATCTTATACGAAGTCGAAACAGCCGTGTCAATCTCGTTGAAAATAATAATTCTAACGCTAGTGACAATCGCTTTAACTAAGTCCGACTTGGAATATTGAAGTTTTGCATTGTCTAAAAGGACTGAACGTTTTAAGTTTGCCTTGCTCAAAACCACAGAAAGTGAACTCAGTTCTTTTAATACAAAGTACGTTCTTACGTCTTCTTTTAGAGTGAGGTATTTGTCTATTTTTTCGACTATTGAAAGTAATTTTTCCTCTAATTCATATTTGGCCTCGAGCGCCTCCATGCTGTGTGCTGACTTTTAAGCATAAAACAAAACTTTCATTCAAGCTATTAAATAAATTTATTTTTTTATGATAACTGGTCTATTATTATTCTAATAATACACTACTGTACTCAGAAATCACGTGACTATAATATGCAACAATAAAACTAATTTATGAACAAACCAAATGAGCGCTTGAAAAAGCTGTATTCAATAATCCTTTAGCTGGCTAGATTGTGGCTGGTTAATTTGCGCACTTGCCAGTAAGCATGTTATTGCACCATGAGTGAGTCGAATGTCGATATATTGCTGAAATTCGTTATTAAGTCTTCTGAACTGTACAGTTCAAATGTCGGTAAGTGTTGTAAAACGAATAAGTTTGTTAGAACTGAAAACAATTTTGTTTGACGAAAATTCCATGATTGTCAGCTCCATTTCGTCGAGTGAGCCTTGCAAATATGGTCTCATTGAAGTGATCACCAATGAAACGCCCAATGGGATTTCATCAAGCAGCATTATACTTAACTTGTCGAAATTGACAACGTACAAGGAAAAAGAAATTTGTTTTATTGAACTATTTTTAGTGGCAAAAAACGGCGAAAACGTACATACTTTTGCGTTGCATCAAGGAGAAATTGAAATATTCATTATTGTGGAAAACAACGCGACGAACACTGAAGAAACTGTGTCGTTTTCCATAATAAATATTATGGACATAGAGCAGGAAGCCAATCTCGTGCTTTTATGCTTTTGGTTAAAAAACATTTATGGCTACAAGCGAGAAAGCAATATATTGTTTAATATCGCTGACTTGCTGCAGACATGGGTGTTCAAAACGTGTAAGATTGCTTATTTTGAAAATAAAACGCTCGAAATAATGAAAATAGGGCAAGAACAAGCTAGCTTAAACATGGAAGACACTGCTGAGTACGGTACCAGAAATTTGAACATGCTGGATTTCGTCGAAGCCAAGCTCGAAAACATTTTTTCAGCAAATTGTATGTCTCTTTCGTCACACAACATATCTAAAGTGAATGCGGTCGATAGACTTGGATTGAAAAAAAAATGCATTACCACCATTCCACTAAACATCATCAGTGAATACTTGTACCACCTAGACCAAAGAATGGAGTGTACAGAGAAAAATACGGAAGATTTGTGGCAGCTTGTAAACCATTTGCTCACAGAAAACAACACTGTGCAAATAGTGTCTAACCAGTTGGTCGAACTTACAAGTAAAATTAATCAGTTCGAAAGGCTCATACAAGGCGTTTTTCAGGGAAAGTACAAAACTGAATCGCAGATCAAAGACCTTATTTCTATATTTAATCTTTCTGTATGTGGAAAATAAATTATTAATGAATTGTATATGCATTGTTACGTGCTCTTCAACAGCCATGCATGTTTACAGTTGCAATACAACGCACCCATGAAGACTAAATATCTAATTTCGCCTATTAAGTGTACTAAAAATTGCTGTGACTGTCACAACGTCGAACCGTATACTGGGGACTGTGAGTTCGTCATTATTGACTGTTCAAGTAATAACAAGATCCCAAAGCATAAAAAAACTTCTTGGCTAATTCCAAAAAAAAATCAATTTTCGTTTCACTGGATTAAACCAGTTCCAGAATGTGAAAAGAAACCAGATATAAAGTATTACTACGAAGCTATTCCTCTAGGTGTCATTCACGCTCAACCGAATAGTAAAATACGAACTGTAAAATTCTAGAAGCCAGCACCACAGGGCTGAGTTCGATTTCGGGAATGAAACACATAGCGTCCTTGTTAAAAAGTGGTAATTTGTCTTTATTCATACAGATTTCAATCATTGGGCCAGGAAGCGTGGTAAACTCCGCATCACTGTCAGTCGATTGCCAATAAGGTTTGAATAAATCCGTAAGATGGACATTTAAAAATGACTTATTGGCTCGCGCATGAACAGAAAGTGTGCTATGCGTGTTGAACAGGATGGTTTGTTCCTCCTCAGAAGCAATTTTCAAAATAAAGTCTTTAAAGTTGTTCAACAGAACCCCGTTTTTTGACTTGTACAACGACCGTAAAACACTTTCAAACACTCCGATCGTTCTAGGTACTCGAAACTCGGGTGATACTCGTACCCAGCTGTGATCGTTCTGGAATAACACTTCAATATAGTATTTTTTCGTTGCTATGGAGTCAAAAATATTCAGTAAACATTGATGTAATACATTTAACTTTTCTAAACCCTCTTCAGTTTTTAAATTACGTAAATTCATGTCTCTTTACATAAATTACGGTTTTTTAAACTTACGTATTGGACAAAACTATAAATAATTTACGCTTCTGACCTGTGAATTGCGTTTCTTCGCCGTTAACGCATTTTTCGTCTTGCATTTTCTACATTCAATATCCTAGACTAACTTTAACCGAAAAATTTCCACTCTTAATAAATCTTTCTTTGCTAAAGGCTATATAAGCTGAATCAGGTAGAGTTTATAATAATTTTAATTATTTGTTTTGTAATATATTTCCCGTAATTGGCGTCATTAACCAAAATCGCAAATGACGTGTTGTGTTGGGGTAATCTGATTGCAGCACTGCCGTTGAAATCCCAAAAACCAAGCCCAGTTAATGTTTTAGCGGCTTCTGCGGCGTATGTTACAGAAATCTCTCTGTCTGCTTGTTTATCCAAAACTTCATCGGATATTGAATCCTGGGAAATAATATCTGGCGAGGAAGTAACGCTGTTTGTATAGCTACATTGCGAGATGATTGCTTTGAGCCGTGAAGGGATTTTTTTTATTTTAACCGTCATATTGCTAGACGTTTTAAACGCGTTCTGGCTCATACGGCTTCCGTTCTTGCGTATATATAAAAAGTGATTTTCAGGTCTAGTTAACATCACACTGGCGGCCATGGGCTTGACGTCAGTTCTAAATCTGAAAATTTGGTAACCTTGATAGTACGACATGTGTAAACCTTCAAAATCTGTGGAGTAGTCCTGAAATAAATTTTTTTGTTTGTATAGAAGATTAAGTTCTTGATCAAACTCATTTGTGCTATAGTCGCTAAATTTATGCAAGATTGAGGCTATAGCATGCGCGTTGGCTCGCAAACAAAGCGGTGGAATAAATAGCCCGTTGATTAAATTTGAATTTAAAGCTAACGAGTCAAACAGTAAAGGTTTTAGCTTAATGATTTCAGAGTAGGTGTGTAGATTGTCTTTGTTTTTTTTAAGTTTTTCAATCACATTAGAATAAGGAGATTTGTGTGCTTTTAACTTTGCTGCGACGTTTTTCTTAGAAAACTTGCTATAAAATTTTCCTTTGGTTAATTTCAATGTCTCGTTCACTTTTTTAAGCCATTCTGTGTAATCAGCATCCTCTGTTTCGTTGTCATTTGATTTGGCTGGATCACTGTCAAATAGATCGCTGATGACACCCATCACGTTGAACGCTCGAGTGTTCATCACCAATCTTTTGTGGAACTTACAGTTTTGTTCAAGTGATGATTTTAATATTTTGTATTTTCGAGGACCGGACTTTTTATCATGAAGAAAGAGCATACTGTTGTATTTTATGTTATTTTTGTGACTGTGGCCGAAGCCAGGGTCCGATTTCGATTTTTTCAAAGCGGCCGCAGTAGTGGTAACGTCGACTCTTTGGACAGGCAAACTTTCAGATTTATGTATTTCAGCGAATTTGCGAATATAATGTACCAGTGGATTATCAAGTTTTTTAACTTTGTTGGTCACGACTGCCGTATTTTGTGTGTTTAAATTTGCGCAAGAGGGGATAGGGTAATAAAAGTTTTTGGATATGAAACTTAAATTCAGTTGATTAAAAAATACGTTTTTTAAATAGTTCTGCAATGGCACGATTCCCACAATGTTCTCGAGCAATGCGTTTAGTAAGAAAGCTTGGCTGAACAGGCAAACATTATTGTTAAAATTTTTTTGCTCCGGTTTTGTGCGTTCTATTTTTCTGAGCACGTTTGAATATGAACCCAGAAAGTTGAACGAACAATCTTCTGGCAACCATTTGTGTAGACCACAGTTGCCTATCAGTAGATCATAAACAGTAAGATTTTCATGTTCTGGTAAGCACAAACCGTACCACCAATCCCTGAGCTTGTCTGTTTTTTTGACAATGTTGTTTGAAATTAACCACATAAGCAGAGACATTAACATAACATGCACTAGTGTGTAACAGCAAAATAAAGATTCATCGTCTATGGGGGTTTTTAAATATGAATCAGATTTTCCAGCTGCAACATTAACAAGACGAGAATCGTCTTTAAGTACAACAACTTGAACAGCTACACTGGGATTTCGGTTTACGTAGAAGAGTATGGCTCGCAATATTTTTTCTTGCAAAGTGTACTGCGGACTAACAACAAACCTGAGCGACGAAGAAGAATTTCGGTATATTAAATTGTATTTTGAATACAAATTAGACAAGCCTTGTTGAGCCTTGTTAAATATTATTTCTAAAAAGGGAATGTTTATTTGGAGTTCGACCATGACTCCATATAGTATTGAAACCACCCGGATAAAAAATATCAGTTCTTTAGGCCACGATTTGAACGGATTATAACTGTCATTACTTTTGTAATCCTTCCACATCTGTTTTTTTTGATCTTTAGTTATCAGTTTCAAATCAGTGTTGTTATTATTAGGCGTAGAAAGCAAAGCTTTAAACAGGTCTAGATAGATTTCTGGATTTGCCGGCAAAGCTTGATCCATAACTTTGAATTCAAAGCCAAGATGTGCCATGGCATCAATCAAGCCGAGAAGATCAATTGTAGCGCAACTGATGATAAATTTGCAATAACCGTATCGGTAGCTGTCAGAAATGTTTTTGACCAGCCCCCAATCTAGCAAAACCGGCTTAGCTTCTTGTGTGAGCGGGTCGACGTTAATTAGAATATTGCCAGGATGTGGGTCGGCGTGGTAAAAACCGTTAATGAAAACCTGATGGCAAAATGCTTCTAGCAAGCTCACAAAAACAGTCTGGAGATCTATTCCATTGTTCTTTTGCTGAATGAGGTCGTTTATTTTGAAGCCTTCAATGTATTCTTGAACCATTACTTGTTTTGTAGTTAAGCTCATGTACACGCGTGGAATTATGATAGGCAGTTCTGCTGTTATCATGTTATTGCGAGCTCGTTGCTGATTTTTCGCTTCTTTTAAAAAATCTAATTCTAAATCAGCCTGCTTTTTCCACTCTGCAAGCAATGCTTGCAAATCAAAGCTATTGTCTATTTTTGCATAAACTCTTAGTATAGTTTCAAGTATCAGCATATCTTGGTTGATCAATTTCTCAATAGAAGCGTGCTGAACTTTGACAACGACAGGTTGACCGTTAATCAATTGACCTCGGTGAACCTGTCCTATTGATGCGACAGCGATCGAGTCAGACTCCAGTTTTCTGAAAATGTGGTCGACTGGCTGGCCCAGCTGCGCAGAGATTTTTTGCTGGATCTGCGCGAAAGACGTGGGAAGCATGTTGTCTTGCGTTTGGCTAAACGCTTTAATGTAAACTTCATTGAAAATGTCTGGTCTAGTGCTGAGAAACTGAACTATCTTGACCCACCAGCCTTTAAGTTCTTTGACCGAGGCTAGAATTGAATTAGCCAATTTATCTTGCCGAATTTTCCAGTAGTCATCTTTATATTGACCAGGCAAAACGGCGTAGTTGAATTTGTCTTGGTAATAAATAAACAGTATATTTGAAAATCTACAGAGGAACTAAAACTATATTTAACTTTACAGATTCGCGTTTTGCAAAGAAAAACTGTCAACCTACTTTAAATAGTCGAGATATAGCGGCAACGCTGCTCATATTATTTATATATGCAGTACATAGAGTTTAATCAATAATACGCAGAGATTTTTGTGTTATAAATGGTGCAGCAATAGAAATTCAAAAAACAAAAACCCAGGCTACGAAGGATAAACGTGATTATGCGAGCAGTCCGTTGAAAAATGTAGATTTTATGTTGGTATGCATAACACTCGGTGTTTTTTTTAATAATACTGCATTAATTAAAATATAATAATAGTTCAAAAATATTTGAAACAAAAAAGGTGCTGTACTTGTATTAATGTTGAGCACATAGATAATCGAGAATTGTTATTCATTTCTACTAACGTGCTTTGTACATATATTGAATAGACTTTCTTGTTATCTTTATTAACAAAATTCATGAGGTAATTGCGTCCTCTAGTTCATGCAAGAAAATTTTATTGATGTAGAGAATAGCGTGCCTATAGGCGGATACGAAAACCAAATTTACAACGAAGGCTGGGGAGAAGGCAACGAAAACGAAAGTGGGGAAGATGAGTCTTGGTTGAAAATTGATCGTACACTTGCCATGGAGGTTAACATTCCGCTCGATCATGGAGGGGAGTTGATTTCGTTTTATGAAGTGCGAAATTGGAAACTGCCTTCCTTGAACGAATTGAACCGGCTGAAAACTCGTATAACTGATGAGTGGATCAAACCATTGAACCTCAAGCAACAAGACATCGTTCGCGCCAGTGGTCTGGGGGCGCCCTACGTATGTTATTTGTTGAAGGACCCTAACAGTCCAAACATGAACCGCAGACGTAAAATTGAAGCTTATAGTGTGCTGACAGAGCTATTCAGGAAATATGATGAAGGATTAATTACAAAAGAACATTTTACTCGCCTCAGAAATCAACGAGTTGCAAGTCGCTTTCAAGGACCTCGGGCGGAGCGATTCACAAAAGTGAACAACCCTAACCACATGGTTAGAATGAAGCGCCGCTATTCTTATAATAACGAAATAGACGGCGACGGCGAGGAAGAAGAGGATGGCTCGAGTATAGAAGATAATATGAGTATGAAAAGCAAACGAAAACAACGAATGATTAATTGTAAGTTATTTTGGCGCTTTGAGCGCGCTTCAATATTTTTCTAGCAAATGTTGACCAGAAATACAATGTAAATGAGCGAAAGATGCAGAATGTAATGTCAGGACCTGGCTTTATGAGCGGGCCAATGCAAGAAAATTACGTCAAACATTGGGTTCCCGTGACAAATACGCCTATTTATCCTGTGCATCCATATACAACTCAGGTTGCTGCTGGCAAAATTCCGAATTCCAGCGCCGCTTCTTATATGCAAAACGGGCAGAACTCGTTTATAGCTCCTTATCCAAACTGCTTTCCTAAAGTAGTTCGTACTGTGTTACCACTTTCTAGCGCCATCGACGGGCCTGTTTCTACCAAGTTTTACGAATATAAACAAGAAAAAAACGAACAGAAAGATGAAAATCAGAATCAAGACGTATACAGTTCGTGGGTCGATTCAAAAATTTCATCAGTCTGCAATAAATGTCTCGTCTCGGGAAAAGAAGGAAACAATGCTGTATTTAGAAACCCTCTAACTCACGCGTTTGTTTTTTTAATCAATAAAACCAGCTTGTTAATTCCGATACTGCTCGAAACCAAACCTGAATCGCTAGTAAATTTCGAAGTTCATTCTGACGAGCAATTATGGGATATCCAGTATTTAAGAAAACATGCTGAAGAACAAAACTGGCTTTCGGACAAGCATAACAGATCAGACTGTATTTGTGTTTTGTGGAACATCAACGACTTGCCCGTTTTTATAAATGGCGTTTTAGAAAAGTGGAAACAAGATTACAAGTTCACTGACGAAGAAATGTCCATTGTAACTTTGCAGTTTCTCTCGCAATTCGTTTATTTACGAGATATAGAAGTTGCGTTTCAAGCTTTACTGCCGCAGGTTGATCCTAGCGAAAACTTTACCCGTGTTTTAGAAATGAATTGTATCCTCAATGATGACAAGTTGAAAATTAATGACACTTTTTCTTGGGACATAAGAGCTTCCGATATGGAGTTAGTTACGTTGTTGTCGTATTTTATCTCCGACTTTCAGCTAAGCGTACCTTCGATAACATCGATGTTTATCGACTTGAAATTGCTAATAATTAAATACCGCAAAGAATGGGTGCAAAATATGCTTGAAAGAATGATCAATTCAGGACGAATTCAGCCCGTCAACGTTCTTCCTGACTCATTATCCCTGCAGGTTTAGATTGTTACTTCAGACAATTGACATTATTACCGTTATTAATAAGTATATTATCCAAAATATCTATGCATATTATAATTAATAACTTTATTGCCTGTATACTTGATTATCATAAGTAACTTATTTTTTTTTTTTCTTTCGTAAGATAAATTTATCATTGAAAGAGATTATTAATAAATGCTTTAAACGGGTTATTTAAACATGGGAGTGAATCGTAAAAATAAAGTCCATGTTGCGCCAACAGATGAAGAGCTTAGCCGCATACCAAGGTCATTGGTTGTTATCATTGGAAAACGGAGCAGCAATGTACTTAAACTTGTGAGTGACGTTCGAAAAATGCTTTTACCGTGGACAGCGAAAAATTTAAACACCACCACCGCAAACACTTTAAAAGATTTCATTGCAGTTTGTGGAGTCTTGAATATCACACATCTCTTCGTCGTCAAGCAATCACAGTCAAACGTTTTGTTTCGCATCTGTAATAAGAAAGAACAAAAAGGTGTCACGTTTACTTTTTGCATTTATTGCTATTCATTAATAGAAGACATCAGGCGCTTATTCGAAAATTCTTTCGCTAATTCGAATGATTTTTCGTCTCCCGCACTCATTGTGTTGTCTGGGTTTGAAAATAAAGACGGCTTTGTTTCAGCCGAAGCTTTGGAACTGCTTCGCAAGTGTTTTTCCACATTGTTCCCAGTTATAGATTCTAAAAGTGCTATTGATATAAAAACAACAAAGCGTATCATGGCCGTTGTTTACACTGGTGAGGCTTCTGTTTCAATTCGCCAATATTCGGTAAGATTGTCACACAAGCTTAAGGATTTGTTAAACACTGATTCTGCTCCCCAAAAAACTAACAAAAAAGTTAAATTGAATGCCAAAGAGAAAATCGATAAAGTAGAAAACTCGAATTTAGATGCTGACGCTCTCAAAAATCTTTGCATAGAGGGTTTGTCTACGGTAGAAATAGGACCCCGCCTCGACATTACACTCGCTCAAGTCCAAAGTGGAGTGTTTAGCGGAACGAACCTTTGGGTTCATCCAAATTTTGACACCGATAAAATAAAAGTTGAAACCGTCGATTTAGATGACGAAGCTATTAGTATAGAAAATGATAATGTTAATGACCTAATTGCGGAATCCGGATCAAGCTCATTGGAAGACTAAATTTTTTAATTTTGTTACCTGTAGTAGGTTTATTAATTTCGAACTTTTGTCAAGTTAAATTTGCGATTTTATTAAGTCTTATTTTTACTAAAATTTAATTTACAAGATCACTGACTTACTAAAGAGTACGATCATTGTCAAACTGAACAGAAATATTAAAGCAATTATTATATAAGTTAAAATTTTCGAATTTCTTAGCCTGTCTTGCTCGTTCAATCGTTGATGAATGATTGCATTTATCATTGCAACTTAGTCAAATGTATACTTGGTGACTCTAACTACGTTGAATAAATTAGTTAGGTAATTTTACTTATTACTTTTCAAATACTGTACTGTCAAAATACTTAGTATTAATGCTCTACACTTATCAGCACAGACCGTGAAATTCACTTCTGAAAGTGCATTCTATAATATTTTTTTGTAAATACTTACACAAATATTGATCTTTAAATTATTTAAATTAATCGCACTGCAAGGATCTTTTAGTTGTATTTTGGTTTTTTTAAGGCGTTTATTTTTTACCAAATGTGTTAGAAATAAATTGATCGTTTGATACAAGTAGTGGTGTTCAGGAAAAAAAGTAATGAAGCTAGTTAGGATTGATTGGTCTTCAAGCTGATTTAACCGAATTAACTGAGCCTCGATTTCTTGAATTTTTTTCTTTTTGTCAAAATCAATTACGTTGCTTACGTTTGAAAAACATAAAATTAAATGGTTTTCCTGATTTTTTCGAATTTCAGAACAGAATATTTTATATAAATAAAACACAGATTGCGACGAACTAAGTGGAATTGACGCGTCCAAAACCCACACAATGATGTCATAGTAACTCACAACGTGATCGAAATTTGTATCAGACGAATTAAAATTTTCTGACGCCAGAAATACATTCGGTGTTTCAGAGTAAAAATCGTTCGACATGTGATTCAGATCTGTTATATAAGTCTTAGATAATTTTTTTACTTCAACGGAATCTGTTATTTTAACTTCGTGATGAGTCAACATTTGCCACAACAACCGTTTTTCATTTTGATTTTCGCCACAAATTAGCACGCTTGGTCTTCTTTTTATAGGTTTGAATTTTTCAACTACAAGATTTTGATTATATAGAGTTAGATGTTTTATCACTTACAAATATACACGTTAATAACAAATAAAAATGTGGTTAACAAGATAAACGACGTGCCATTATCAATTACAGTTTTCATTATAACATTGAAAGTTTATTTGGCTTAAAATCGTTTATTTTATTTGTTGATTAATCAATTGACAAATTTGGTATAAAATAAAAATAAAAATCTAAAATGACGGGTTTTAGTTTGTTTATCTCAAAAGTTCACAATCTAACATCTGACGAAATTCAGCAATACAAAAAAAGTTTTACGAAAGACGAGTTGTCTAACATCGAACAACTACAACTAAACTTTCAAAACGTGTTGTACAGCTATTATTTTACCAAAGTTTGTTTGAGTAAAGTTATCAATTGTCCCATTGGACAAATAACAGTGAAACGAAAAAAATTGTATAAACCAGTTTTACAACAACATGGAGAAAAAAAATATGATTTCAACGTTAGTCACGACTTCAACTTATTTGTCTTAAGTTGTATGGAAGCAGATTTAAATTCTATTGGAATCGATCTGGCTTATACTAAACTCAAAAGCGACAAGAGATCGCCAACCGACTTCTTGGATAATATGAAAAGCACGATGACAGTCAAGGAATGGAACTTCATAAAACATGTAAATTCAATAGATCAGATGCTGTACAGATATTTTTTGTTATGGACTATAAAAGAAAGTTTTTTAAAATGTGTTGGCTGCGGTTTGAGCTTTGAGATTGGAAAACTTGAAATAAACATTCCAAACGAAACAATGCTTATGCATTGCACCGAGAAAATAGTATATACGACAGACTCTTTGAAAGTTTATCATCTTGAAAATTGGGAACAAATAAGAATTTTTTCGTTGTTTCAGGAAAGTTTCGAAATTGACAATTATAAGATTTTGCCCGGAATGCAAAATTATACTTTTTCAGTTTATCGAATTACTGACGAAAACACTGGAAACTATTGGGTTACGATATGCAAACGCGGTTTGCATCAAAATCATGATTGTTCAGTAATAAATTTTATATAAAAAATTATAATATAACCAAACAAAGATCATACAATCTGCTAATCGATATCATAAAAATAAAATTGTAAAAAAAATAATTAACAATTATTCAAAAAACACAATAACGGGAACAAACTAGTTAAACGAGTTGTTTAATCAACTTCTTCCACAGTTGGACCAGATGAGGCGCCGCCCATGCCGCCCATACCGCCTGGTGGCATGTTCATACCTTCACCCATACCGCCTTGTGGTCCAGCAGCATAGATCTTTTGCATGATTGGCATAGCAACAGTCTCAAGTTCCTTTTGTTTGGCTTCGTATTGGTGGGTTTCAGCGTCATTGTTAGTTTCTACCCATGAAAGAGTGTCAGTGACTTTCTGAACAAGAGTGTTAACCTCGTCTTCAGAAATCTTGCTCTTCATGTTTGGATCAGAGATTGAGCTTTTAAGAGAGAAGCAGTAGTTTTCAAGACTGTTTCTAGCTTCAACCTTCTTGGCCTTAGCTTCATCTTCAGCCTTGAATTTTTCACTTTCGTGAATAAGTCTTTCAATTTCTTCCTTAGAAAGTCTACCTTTATCGTTGGTGATGACAATCTTGTTTTGTCTGGAAGTAGCTTTGTCGACGGCGTAAACGTTGAGGATACCATTGGCGTCGAGGTCGAAAGTTACTTCGACTTGAGGAGTTCCTCTTGGTGCAGGAGGAATTCCGGTTAATTCGAATTTACCGAGAAGATTGTTGTCAGCAGTCATGGCTCTTTCTCCTTCGAATACTCTGATGGCGACAGCAGTCTGGTTGTCAGAGTAAGTAGTGAAAGTTTGACTTCTCTTAGTGGGGATGGTAGTGTTTCTGTTGATAATCTTGGTGAAAACTCCTCCAGCAGTTTCGAGACCGAGGGATAATGGAGTAACATCAAGAAGAAGAATGTCTTGAACTTGGGCGTTGTTGGCGTCAGTGAGGATGGCTGCTTGAACAGCGGCACCGTATGCAACGGCTTCATCTGGGTTGATGGATTTGCATGGTTCCTTTCCGTTAAAGAAGTCAGTAATTAGCTGTTGAATTTTAGGAATACGAGTAGAACCTCCGACGAGTACAACTTCGTGGACTTGTCCCTTATCGCATCTTCCGTCTTGAAGAACTTTTTCTACAGGTTGGATGCATCTTTGGAATAAGTGAGCGTTGAGTTGTTCGAATCTAGCTCTAGTGATTGAAGCGCTGAAGTCGATACCTTCGTACAAAGAATCAACATCGATTGAAGCTACAGAGGACGAGGAAAGAGTTCTCTTTGCACGTTCACAAGCAGTTCTCAATCGTCTCAAAGCTTTCTTAGATTGAGTAAGATCTTTGTGGTGCTTTTTAAAGAATTCGTTAGCGAAGTGGTTAACAAGTACGTTATCGAAATCTTCTCCTCCAAGGTGAGTGTCACCATTGGTGGCTCTGACTTCAAAGATACCGCCATCGATGGTCAATAAAGAAACATCAAAGGTACCACCACCAAGATCGAAGATGAGAACATTTCGTTCACCATCAGCTTTTTTGTCAAGTCCGTAAGCAATAGCTGCGGCGGTAGGTTCGTTGATGATTCTTAAAACGTTAAGTCCAGCAATGGCACCAGCGTCCTTGGTGGCTTGTCTTTGAGAGTCGTTGAAGTAAGCTGGAACAGTGATAACTGCAGAGTTTACTTCCTTTCCGATGAAAGCAGTAGCCTGTTCCTTCATTTTACCTAAAACCATAGCGCTGATTTCTTCAGGACTGAATTTTTTAGTCTCACCCTTGTATTTTACTACGATTTTGGCCTGGTTATTTTCGTTTACAACTTTGAATGGCCAGTGCTTCATATCTTCTTGAATTGCTTGATCGTTAAATTGTCTTCCGATCAATCTCTTAGCATCGAAGATTGTGTTTTCAGGGTTTTGAGCTGCCTGGTTCTTGGCTGCATCTCCAACAAGTCTTTCGTTGTCAGTGAATGCAACGTAAGATGGTGTGGTTCTGTTTCCCTGATCGTTAGGGATAATCTTAACTTCGTTATCGAAGTAAGCGACACATGAAAAAGTGGTACCTAAATCAATACCAACTGCAATGTTTTGAGCTGCCATTTTCTTATAATTAGTAAGTTAAAAAAAATATTCTTATTTTATTAATAAATAATGTTTTGTCGTTTGAAAAATTTTTTCTTCTAACAAATGTTTTTTCTACACAAATTTAATTAAATTTTACTATATATATCATTTTATTATGTGAGAGTGGATGTTTGTACTTTGTAATGCTTGTAAATTAATAACTTATTTTGTTTAGCTCATTATAAACCAAGTAGAATGCCAGCTGAATGCGTTTTTGATTTAGAAAGCGTCAGAGAATTGAAAATTCCTCAATATATCACGACTGAACTTAAATCTAAATCAAACATTTCATTACTAGCACAAGAAGCTTTGATACTCATAATCGACAAGTTAGTACTAGATCACGATCTGAAGTTTATCGTCTCTGATATTCCATTTTTTTCCAACAAAAGCAATGAAAAATTTTTCGACTTTAATATCGTTGAAGGTCCTAGTAACTATTTGCAACTGATATATTTTGCAACCACTAATGACGGTCTTAAAAGCAAAATTCTCTGTATGATTTATTATTTTTTAATTCAATCGCTGCACAAAAATGAGCAAACTTTGTCAAATCTAGAATTATTTTTCAAAAACAACCTTACAGAAAATTTTGTTACATTTATGTTATCTTATGATGAAGACTTTTGGGATTCTTCGATCAATAACGTTTTTTTAGAAATAATTCAGTATATTATCAGCTCATCAATCCCCTGTTTATATTTATTAAAAGTTTGGGAATTTATTACGTCTTTTTTTACAGAAAATTATGGTAATTATTTCTTAATTAACAATAAAAATTTTGATTGCGGCGGGTACAGTGATTTTTTCGAAATTTTATTTGATCGAAAAATTGAACTCACACATGTTTACAAAAATCATTGCAGTGTCGACTTAATCGAAACTTATAATACGTCAGTTGAAGTATTTTCTAATTCTATCAGTCCAGCCGCTAGATTTTTTACAATACTATCGGTGATATTGTTTGCTTATGTCAAAGCTTTCAATTTGGAAAATGAATTAGAAATTATTTTAGTTTTTTCAGGACTCGTGAGTAGTTTAATGCATATTTTGTGCAAGGAATTTCACAAATGTGTAGAAAAAAACGAAACTAAAAATTCAGAAAACATACTACTTTTAGAACTTTGCAGATCTTTTGATATGTTAAAAAAAAATTTAATTTTACACTCATTTAAACCTAATTCTCGTTTAATGCAATTATGTAATAGTTTTAACAATACTTGGATTTATGATTCTATTGTTGAGTGGGTTTGTGCGAATCTAGAAAATGATGAAGTCAGTACAGTACAACTGAGTGAAACTCAAAAGTTACTCCACGCAAAAATTTTACAATTTCATTGTCCTTATATATTTGAAAATGAAAAAGAAGATTTACAAACAATTAACGAAATAATTATTGGAAGCGATAAAAGTCATGCCGGCTCGGTGAAAGTCAATAGTGGAAAATTGTTTTTGCTCTATCGATGGGCTAAACTAAACGATTACGAACCTTTGATTTGGCCAGCTCAGAATTATGCAGCACCACCAATTGAGCTAAAACATTACTTAAAAAAATTTGATAGAATTGAATCACAAATTGAGGCGTTGCAACTGCTGCGCTGGGAATGGTTCAAGCGATTTAGTACTGAAGAACAAAAAATCTTAGCTGAGAAAAAAAAGCGAACACCTATTATTGGCCAATGCGATGAATCTGTTGTTGAAAAAATCAGAGTTTACTTATCTAACACCGACGACAATTTTTCTAACTTCTTCAATGACAACGAAAGTGAAATTGGTTTCTAAAATCCAATTTGAAATTTTATTTTAATTGAAAAATGAATCAAAAAGACACAAAAGTAAATTTTGCAAATACAAAGATTGATTCAATAATTAAATCAAATTAATTCTTATTTGAACCTCTATGAGTACAATATGAATGATTCAACTAGCGTTAAAAATATGAAAAACAGCCGCACGATGCGAGATAGGTTTAGCTGTACTACTTCCGGTGCTGACTCCGAACAAAACGCACATATTACTGTATGTATACGCAAAAAAGTGTTATTACCTTATGAAATAGATAAAAATAAATTTGATATTATTAAAGTTAATAGTCCAAACGATTTGATAGTAAACGAATTTAGACGTGAGTATAACGGAACTGAAAAAATAATCGAACATCCGTTCAAGTTTGACCGAGTATATGACGAGAACTTTACGAATGAAGCTATTTACAATGACTGTATTAAAATTTTAATTGACAGAATGTTTGAAAATGGAGGGTGCTGCAGTTGTTTTGCTTTTGGACAAACTGGTTCAGGTAAATCGTTCACCATGGTGGGCCCCGAAAAAAATTCCTTACTTCATAACGTATCGGAACATGATGGTTTATGGATAAAAGCTGGAGAAGAAATTCTAAACAAGCTGAAACAGTCTGAATTTGCGTGTTATGAATTGATGATGTCTTATTTTGAAATTCATTGTAACAAAGCTTATGATCTTTTGAACAATCACAATTTAGTTAGACCTTTGGAGCACTCTGATAAAACCGTTATTGTCAAGGATTTGCGCGAAGTATTGATTACTGACAATGCTGTTCTCACAGAATCTATTGAAACCGGCACTTTTGCGCGTTCTACTGCTGCTAACAGCAAAAACAATGTCAGCAGTCGTAGTCACGGAATAATGCAGTTTTCGGTACGTCTGAAAAACGAGAGTTTTTCTGAAGTTACTAAGCCTACGAACACTCGAAGTTCTCTCATAGAAAATCTGATGTCTAGAGGAAATAGCATTTCATGTTCAACTCCAGTTTCTCCTAAGTCCTTTATCAAGTTTGCTTTTATCGACTTAGCTGGTAGTGAGCGTGGAGCTGATTCTGTTTTTTTCGGAAGATCAGCCCAAAAAGATGGAGCAGGAATAAATCGCTCACTCTTGGCTCTTAAAGAGTGTATCAGGGCTATGGACCAAGGTAAAGGTCACATTCCATTTAGAGATTCAGAGCTGACTAAAATTCTTCGTGAATACTTCTTAAACCCAAAGGCGTACTGCATTATGCTCGCCAATATCTCCTCTTCAAATATCAATACGGATCAAACACTCAATACTTTGAAATATGCGCAACGTTTTATTACTTTGCGGGTAAATTCCACGCCTTGTTTAGCAAAAACGTTTCATATTCCAATCAGACAAAATTCAGCAAACGAATGTTTTTCTCAAATTCATTCAACGCAGGTAGAAATTACGAACGAAAATGTTAGTGAAGAAAATAACAATACTTCGTTTTTTAACACGCTACATCAAAAAAAAGTTACATTAAACAGATCGACCATCAGTATTCCCGTCCAAAATTCTGAAAATTTGGTATCCTCTGATGTTTTCACTAAGAAAAAAATAATTGATCCTCAGCCTTACTTTGCTGAAAGTCCACAAGACAACCTCAATGAATTCTTTGTTAAAGAAAACTTTACGCGAGCTTCCGTTGGAGCTATCTCTCATTTCGGTGGAAATGTATTTTGCCCCGCAACATCACATAATGAAAAGAAACAGCTAAATCAAGGCGATATTTTTGAATCTACGTTTTCATCCGACATGGAAAATTTCAATGACCTCGTAATTGACGGAAAAAAAATATCAAGAGAATACCTGTTATTGTTAAATAACTACATTCCAGTCAACAAAGTCTTTGAACTGCTTAATAAAACGCCAGGCGAGAATTTTCCTCTCAAAAGCTATAATATCAAAGACCACAACGAGTTTCGAGAAAAATACATTTCGAGTAGCGACCCAAGAGAAATTACCAATGGCATCAACTTAGTGTCACTGGACGTGTTGCAGAGTTATGAAAATTTTTTACAGGCACAAAACTATAGTTTGCGTCACATCTTGGAGTTAAGTAGTTTACACGTTCGATTCTGCCGTATGCTTGAAGAAAACAACTTGATGATTAACTATTCGAACAAAGAGGGTTCCAACATTGAAACTCGAATTAGAAATATCGACGAAAATCTGATTCTCGTCTCTAAAAAGCTTTTTAGCAAGGAACAGGACCATATGGGTTTGATCTTAGATTCTATAGATGAATTAAACACACTGCTTAGCTACTGGAAAGAACTAAATAATAAGCAACAAAAAATGTCAAGCGAAACATTAGAGATGTGCTAAATGTGACTGTTTTCCGTACGGTTTGATATACACGATGTAGTCTTTTTGCGGTAAAAAACGAAACATTCGATCGTAACAGTACCAAGTCGACTTACTCGGATCTAGTTCAGACTTGTCATTGTTCATGACAGCTTCGCAGTCGGTGCAATAGTCGTTGATTTCTCCGTCAACGCGTTTTTGCTTGTCACAAATAATTAAAAAATTTTCTAACACAATCCAATTTTTGTCGTTGAATACAGTTCCGGCAATCACTCTTTTATCAGGGTCGTACCATCGATTGACGTGTATCCTTTCCACGATATTATCATTCACCTCTTGATTTTTTTTTTTTGAATTCAGAGTCGTTTGCTTAAAAGTTATTGAGCCAAAATGTTTCACGGGCTTGGAGCGCCGTTCCGTCGTTGATGAAGAGACGAAAAGATTGTTGTAACCTCTTTCTGCAATCAACACTTCAGCATCTTTGTCTGTTTCTGCTTTAGTTTGTATGATCAGAGATATTAGAAAAAATTCTACAGCGCGCATGCCAGCGGAACAAAAATGCTAATTTAATTCCCACGCACTTCAAATATATTTGCGTCGGTGATTGGTTAATTTTCTTTTAAATTTGCTTTTTATACGTATGTTAAATTTTAATATTTCACTCAGCGATTTAATTTTGGTCAGTAAATAAGCTGCCTGAATTTATGTGTGATTTCGGTGACGTTGAACGAAACCGTGGACGGTATGGATTTGAGCGTTTCGGTTATTTGGTTGTAAAAACTCAGAAATACAGTTTTTCCGTACAAAAATTTGTTGATGGTATCGTTGGACCTTTCGTGCAAAATTGAAGTTAACTG